ATGTTTAGAGCTACTGGAAACAACTCAGTGGACGTCGTCATTGCATCGCCACTATAGCTTGTCACGTAAAAGGGCAATTTCATTTGCAGTAGTTACAAGATGTCCCGCAGCTAACGATCCACCACGATCTACTCGCGAGATCGTTTAAAAATGCGATTACTGAGGCAAAATGATATTCGATACCGGAGTGATAGAGTTGTTGTGCTTTGTTCGGACGCAAAATGGCTGGTTTCCAGCGGCGGCAGCACAAACATGGTCCAGTGCTTCTCGAACACTGGGCGTCGCCGCGGCCAAAAAGACGTCACGAAAGTGGAATGCAGCAAAGCATTCAACGTGGAACCCACGTTCGCATGACGCACAGCCCCATCGAGATCGTCGCTGCAGCCCTTGCATACTGCACAATAGACACTTCAACTGACCACTCGACTTCGTGGTCGAGTTCGGTGTTAAAATATGACGACTACCAATGTTGCCGACGACACTAACGAGAGACTGCACTCTCTTTCTTTTGGAGACGCCCTCACCATGTTGTCTTTGCTGGAGAGCAGGTGCTGTCAGCGCTTCCGCAAGACGGCGTTTAAATTCACGTACAGATACAGATGCTGCACCAGTAGGATGCACCTTCCGTAGAAGTGCAAATGCATTCAGCGCACAGAGTTCGAGTGCCCATGTTAGCATACTCATTGACAAGCGCATTTCCTTTCTTCTCGTCGGGTTTGTGCTTCGAAGTTGATCGACGCGATCAACTGCATTCATCGCTAGGTTATAGGCGGCCACAAGGGTCGGAACCATAAATGTTGTTCTGTGCATGATCTCGCTACCAGTCCATCGTCGAATAGGATAGAGACCATGCACACAGGCGATGGCTCTGGGGTCATTGCAGTTCAGGACACTTGTGGGCGGGGTGCACTTCAAGTCGTTAGTGTAAAAGATAACTGCTTGCTTGTCCTTGAAGACGATATAACCAGCAAATGGAGATATTGTGACAGTCGGAGTGTACACTGTGCGTTTTGCTTTTGGGATCCTCCTTTGTCGTTGGTTGTGCCGCTGAATATTTGCTGCCAGCCCTGGTTCAACGTCGACAGCAGCAACAAGCTCCCATGAGCTCCGCTCTATTTCGCTGACGCGAGCTACAGCGGCTGTTAGTTCTTTCCTATTCCATTTGTCAACGAGATTCAATCGAACGGTACCAAGAAGTCTCGCTTCGCCGTCGGTAAACTTGAGCAAAGCTCTTGCCAAAAGGTGCCTAGTGTAGAAATTATCCGATACCATAAGTCTTCGCCCAGTTGAGGAAGAAATGCGGCGCGTCTGGTGGCCCATCATCGCCACCCAGAGTGCTGATGGGCTTCCTCTCTCAATGTTGACTTCGGGGTGGGCTAAAGTCCGGTTGCAGCGGGGCTGCCGTAGCCTAGCGTCAGAGGAAGACGGTTAACTCAAAGAGTAAAGGGGTTAACTCAACACCCTAATAAAGGTTAATAGGTCCTTAATATCC